ATCTTCTGGCTTATCGAAATATTATGTTCTTGTCCATTTTTTCGAGGTCTTATTAAGGTCGTCTTAATTTGTGGAACTAAATAATTTCGTTACTAATTAATAACGTGTAATTCAATTATAGGCTATTTGCATATAGAATAAATACAGAGGTAACATGTATGCAAATGGGGTAAATGACGGGCTTTCGGACTGAAGTCTCCCTCTCCCCCCAAAAATGGTAAAATATAACCATCTTTTATGACAAAAGTTATCTCTAAAAGTATTATTGTTCGTCTGATTACAGTTGGTAGTACTTAAAGATTCACTTAAAGATCGTTTCATTTAGGTAGTTAATTTCTTTCTTTCTTACGAAGTATTTACTCTAATATATTTATACAAAAAAAATCTTTCCTCCTGAAGCCCTCCCAAAATTAAATCCTGAATCTGTTAGTGCCAATAATCACAAATGTTGATCGCAAAGGACCACTAGCGGATCCAGGATTTAATTTTGGGGGGGGGAAGCTTCAGCCCGGAAGCTTTTTTTTTTCATAAAAATAACGATATTTACTTTGGAAAAACAGAAAGAAACTAACTACCTATATGAAATGGTGTTTAAGTGATTCTTTAAGTCCTTTTAAATGTAATTAAACCAACAATAATACTTTAAGAGGTATTTTTTAATTTTTTTCTCATAAAACGTGGTTATGTTTTACCATTTTGGGGGGGCTTCAGCCCGAAAGCCCCCCCCCCGTAGATCCGCCCGCGCAAAGGACAATCACGGGCGCCGCCGATTTGTTATCAATATAAAATAAATGACAAAGCGTATGAGAATAAATAATTTTAGCCTTTTAACAAAGTGACTGAATTAGAGACATATTTAATTAAATAAAATTGAAACATCACTACATAAGAAATAAATTAAATATTTTGGGGGGCGATGACGTCATTGTCTGAAGGCGCCAAATGAGTAAAGTAGAGTGAAGGAGAGAGCTTATCTCAAGTCCGGATTCTTTAGGTTCAATTATTTTTCTTTAAAATATAACATACAAAAAGTACTAGAAACTGCAACAATTATATGATAAAAAGTATACATCTTTATTTCTCTAAAAAATTAATATCTCTATTTCAGGTCCCTGAGTAATTTAACACACAGGCTACCAGAATAATAGATGAGAGTGAGTACTGCATTTTAATTTGATTTAGTAATTTAAGCAAAATTTGTTGATAACTTTTTTTAGATTCCATAGCTTTTTTATTTATTTTACAGTTATATTGTCCGTAACATTATGGTAGACATTATAGTATAGCTTAAACAAAAAAATAATGTTAAAATAGCATTTTAATACTTACCATTTTTGTATATACCATTTATTATATTTTTTATTCTATATATTTGAAAATATATTTTTTTTGTAGACTTAAAACAAGATATAATTGATTACTCTTATATCATTATTATCATAGACTTTACAATATCTCAATTGTCTATCTAACTATTCTATTTGCAATATCTTAATTTTACTATTTATTTTCATTTCTTATATAACTTCATATTCTTTTTTTCTGTTTTACATTTTCTTCTAAGATTACCATTTTAATACTTATGTCACCTTTTTTGATTATGTTTACTTCATCATTCCACACTTTGTAACGATTATTATTATCTCTTTTTTTTTTTTTTTTTTTTTTTTTAATTAATTAAGAGGGTAATGGTCTAACTTCCCGCGGGGACCAGCCATATTGGGAAGTAGGGCCGGGATTCGATCCTATGATCTTTGCTTTACTAGTATAGCGCGCTAACCACTCTGTTATACCGGCCCCTATTATCTCTTAGTTCTTGTTATTTGTCATTATTCTAATCACTTCATTTTACTTTAATTTTTTTTACCTACATTATTTATGTTTCTCATACCTTGTTATCTGGTTCTTTTCTTAGCCCTGATGAAGGCCTGAACTTTAAGTCAAAACGTCGGCAAATGTTAAAATAAATATTATTATTTATTTTTGCCTTCTTATTTCTGACTGATCACCCCAACCATCCTTCTCTTCATGATTGCTCTTATATCTTGTTTCACCTAATCACTTTACCTGATACAATGAGGGTAATGTTACCCACTTATTTCCAAAAATTACTCTTACCTCAACTATTTTTTTCACACTTTTCTGCATTGTTCTGAAATTTGTTAGACAACTTTATTTTAATTCATGATTAATAATTATGAAATGCATTATCAGTACATGGCAAAACAAAAATAAACAATGTTTCTGAACTTTTCCAACACTAAAGATTTTAATATCTTGTTCTCTTGTTTTATTTCATTTTAACTTATCGGTTTTCCTCATTAAGAGGGTAATCTTTGAGAGAAGGGACCAACTACCATACTTAGCAAGGGATACCATAACATGCATGGGCTTTCTTTGTTTCCTGATGAAACTATGAGTTCAACATTTTTTATTTATTATCATTAAAAAAAAAGTTTCAAATTAAGTTTAGTAGGCTCCTAAATAAAAAAAAAATTCCTGAACTAGCATAGAATTTGTGTTACTTTTCACATTATTTTGTACTGAATGGTTAAAGTAAATACGTTGTAATTAATTTTTAATTTAACAAAAATCTTGAAATATTATTATTTTTGTAGTAACTTTTATTTAATGTATGTATTACATAATAGTGGATTAATAACTAATTGTCGTAGATATGTTGGAGAGAAGTTGGTTGGGGTAGTAAAAATAAATAAATTATATTTATTTATTCTTTGTTTTTTTGTTCTTTCTACATATCTAACCAAATCTTTATGTGGATTTATGAAATTTGATTTGTCTAAAATCATATGTAGAGTAGAAACAGAGGGATTGGCAAAGGGAAGACCTAGGTAATAGAATTTAGAGAGTGGCAATGGTCAAATGAAATTTTATTTTTAGGTTCAGTAAAAGAAGATGGCCTCGAGATCTCCTTTTGTAAATACATTTTTAGAGTGCTACCAATGGGTAGTTTCTCAACATGTGATTTCATGCTATTTTATTCGTGATAGCCAAATGTTAAAGATTTGAGATTTGAAATCTAACAGTTTAGTGATAAAACTAGCCTATGACAGGTTAAAATTTATTTTGTGGCTCCAACTCTAGTCAGACAGTTTAATTTTTAATTGAAAAAAATGGGATGAAAGAAATCTCCTCTGGCTAAAATTCTAGTTCTGTCCATGTATGGCTGTTACACATTTTGCCAGTTATAAAATTAACAAATTTTAATTTTTTTAAACACCTTTTCATGTTATAATTAAGGAGAAATAAGTTTGATAGGCGAAATCAGTAATCAAAGTTAGATAAATTAGTTAAATATGAAAAATCCTCCTAAATTTGCAATTTTCAGTCAACAATTGACCCATTGGCGCTGACTTATGAAAATTATTGGAGGGACCCATCATGCGTCTGTCACTGACAAAATAAATTCTGTGCTATCCGCTAAACAAATTCTGCTATATCTGCTTCTAAATACATAGGGTCCAATGAATGGGATTGTAATTTACTAGACCAATATGTTCATGAAGTTCATATTATAGCAATTAGTTGAGGGAGCTGAGCCCCAAAACTGCAACATTGGGGGGCGCTCAAGCTCCGCGAGCTCCTTGTAGTTGGCGCCGATGAATTGACCAGACTAATAAAACTAAGTTATCCCTATGGAAATAATCATGATTTAATAAAAAATAATATATTTAAAATATATAATATTTATAATTGGAAAATAGCAAATTTACAAGATAGACAATCCTCGGATAGGTTCTATGCTATCAATACAATAATACATATGTGGGTACATTCTAATATGCAATACACAATTTTCTCATAAAGATAAATAAACATTTTATGAATTTAGATTGTTTATTTACAATGGTAATGATATTTACAAGCTTTTAAAATATATTATCATTAATGAAATCAATCAAATATAAGCTACAGCAATATAAAACCACCATTTCTCATTATTAAAGACAGCCTGAAACACTAAGACACCTTAATCAGATGGTACTATTTAATTTTTAATATATAATTCTTTTTAACACTATACAACAATGAAATTTTACATAAATACATAAAATGTTATATTAATAAGTTCAGGTATTTAGAAATACTATATAAGTTTTCAACAAATCACATTAATTAATATTCTTAAATTTTATTTTAATATCTTCAGGTTTTAAAATTAACTTAAAATAAATTAGTTTAACAAATTTAAAGTTATTTACATATATATACATTATTTGTAGCAATTAATACAATTATGTATTCCTTAGTTATATTAATAGATAAATTTAAATACCCTGCTTATTGGTAAGTCTTTCTCTGATTTGACTATTCAAGTCGTTTTATTATTTAGTAGTCAGTGTGAATAAAGTTGACTAATTAATATCTACATAAACGTTTTTGGAGAGCTTTTCAATAATTTATATAAGGACAAAAAAGAATAATTAAGCAAAACATAAAACACAAATGATAAAGTTTTTTGTTCTTTTTTTTGAGCAATATCTACATAATATCTGATATAATAATCATAGTTACATCAATATTTTTAACTTATAAGAACTTAAAGTAATATATATTGTAATGTTATATCTAATATAATATTAGTTTTTAAGTGTTGAAATTAACAATAAATTAATATTATTGAATGAAAAAAATTCCTATCCGTAATGACTGATGAAAAAAAAAATTCTTTAATTTTATGGTTTCTTTTGGATTGAGATCTTAGATATGCCCTAACCATTTGACACAATATGTATTAGGAAATTACTCCATAAAAAAAAAGTAGACCTAACATAATGTTATCTTTACAATTTATGGAAAATATTTTATTTTATAGTAAAATGGAAAAATGATTTCAGAAAATAGTACCTATCAATGTAGTTGAAACATTTGACAATTTAAAAAAATAAACAATTAAACCATGAGATTTCTTCATTGTTTACTTATCTGAGGATGTATATTCAGGAGACAGAAGATTGGTTTCAAATAGGACATTGATTTCAAACTGGCTCTGATGGAGGCTGCAAGAATGGTGATTTGGGTCCATTGGACATTTTGGCATTAGCTTGAACTACAGTCATGGTTGTAGTTTCACTGCCCGTAGACTCGCGTTTCCTGTAGGGAACGATCTCATGCTTACTGTATAACCTACAAGTCACACAATCTATACTGGGTATAATAGGGTTATTAATAATTTTAATAAATAAAAAATATTCATTTATATAAATATATTTATTAATGTTTTTATAAAAATAATATAACAAATTTATAATAACATGTGTTTCCGTTATTAAATGATTTCGAAAAATGGGTTGAGAACATAGAAGTGAATGCAATTTCCTGAATGATCCTATAGGACAGCAAAAAATACTTAAGAATTTATGATATATAAAATAATGTATATTTTATTTATATATTTATAAGCATAAGTATAGCTCACATTTAGAGAAAATGTACTTTTACATCAGTGGGTCTGGTTCCAAGGTCATGATGGCCGAAAATGTTAAGGGATCACAACCTTAATGATCTCGAGTCTAGATTAGTATACTACTGGTAGGTTGTACCAGAACTCAATAATCGACTTCCATTTCCCCTCCTTGTATACCAGAAATGATGATGCAGGGGATAAAAAAAAAGGGGTCTGCTTTCATCTGATCAAATCACAATCTCTCGGGTCAAAGTACTTTTTTATATGTTAGATAAGTATCTCTATAAATTACAAAATTTTATTGTATCTGTTTTGAAAAAAGTAAAATGTAAATATATAGGGCGTACCTTAAGTGTAGGGAAATATTTAAAAGGTTTAAAGTAGACATCAAGATCTAAAATGAAGACAAGATAAACAATTACTCAATTTAAAGCAGAAAAGTAGGAAATTTAAGATTTGCATTTTTTAAACGAGTAACGTTTTTTGTTGAATAGTAAACAATAACTAAAAAAATATTTGATTTAAGGAATTAAACATTGCTTTGTTGTAAACTAGACAAAATTTTCTTCAATAGAACAGATTGGCATTGTTAAAATCATTTAAAGGGGAGTATTGGGCGGGCAAAATCAATTAAGTTCCATTTAAAAAAGTCATAAATTATTTGTGATTTTTTTTTATCATCCATTAACTGTACTACAGTTATCTCACTTTTAGAAAAACTTCCTCGTTTAATAAGCTGTAAGTCCATATTAATTAATTTGAGGTTTATGAGGAAAAAGTTTGAGATTCACCTCAAGTTGTGTAAAGAAATGATGTGATTTTTTATATGGTCACCTAAAAGTATTCATGTTTTAAAAAACAACAACAAAAAACTACAATTAACTGTTGCAAAGGTTTATTTCTTGTTTTTCCGAGATATAGGATGTATTTTAATGATTTCTGTCATAGGAATTTTTTATTTATCAGTGACAAACTTAATGTTTCTTACTAAAGGTGTAGAAATGGTTGACCGTGATTATAATATGAGAAGAAGTTGGTCGGGGGAGGGGGAAGAAGGAGGGAGAGGGGGTGCAGTCATATAAATACTATATTATAAGAATAGTATTTTATTCGTTACACCGACATTTCGACCCACTTTGTAGGTCTTCATCAGGGGTACAAAATATAAAAGGTACATACTGAAAATAAAATAAATGAATTATAGATATTAAATAAGAAACAGTTGTTTGATAAAGAAATAATAAGATGACATTAGAGATATAATGTAATTTAAATATCAAGTATTACATATATAGAACTTTATGCTGGAAATTCGGCAATTGTATATGAACTTCTTTGTAGATCTTGATCTCTATTAACAACCTTTTAAATATTTCCCTCTACTTACAGGACATCCTGTATACTTTAAACAATGTATTGTTCTAAATAAAAAAAAATTGTTCCACTAGAACACATTGAAGTTCTTTATAACTCAAGACAGAAATTTTCTTGGTCTCATTACTTGATAAGAAAGTTCTGCTTTTTTTTTTTTTTTTTTTCATTGCTTTACAGGAGATGAAGTGGCCATGATTAAAGCTAACCAACAGGTTTTATGTCTCAACCGTTTGATGGGCAATGCTACCCTTAGGTCCAGGCAACCCGGAAAATTGCCTGGGGACGCCCACCACTTGTTTGGAATTTTAAAATAATGCAAAGCGAAAGAGAATAACTAATTTTAGCCTATTAAACCAACTAAATCAAAAAAATATTGAATGAGATAGAAATTCAATTATTACTTAATATAAAACAGCTTAAGAAATAAATTAAATTTTTTAGGAAGAGATGATGTCATTGTCTGGGGGTGTCAAGTGTCTAAGGCTGCCACTGTTGATAGGTCAGGTATTTACTTTAAAAGAGACTTCGTCTTTAATTTTCAAAATTTGTCCATTTTTTACCTATGTATAGACATTTTTTATTTGCACAAATTTTTTTTCTTCACTCTTTATCTCTCGATTTCTGGCATACAGATGGAGAGAGGGTTATTTATGGGTATATAATTGGTTGTATACCCATAATAACCCATAATAAGAGGTTTGCCTCTTCTAACTAGTGGGGGGAAGGTTGAGATTCATTCCATTGATCTACCACAAAATAAAATTAAGCCCGCTCATCCTGGATTCAAATGAGCTTTGTCAGACTCAACTTTCCTAAGGTTATGATGCTTTAACACTCTCAGCCATCACGATCTGAACACAGTTATTACATCAATATTCTGAATAGTTACCGTGAGTTAGAATTTAAATTGACTACCTGATACTCTCAGTCCTGGTATTGGGTGAGGAATCCTTGGTGTACGTCCTGTGAGGTAATGATCTTTCTTCCCTCCACCTTTGCCAACGGTGGCGGATAGTATTTTGTACTTCAGTGTTGAGGAAGCAGTACAACAATCCTACTGTCAGACCCTGGAGTCAGAAAAATGATTCATAGAATTATATACTTATATTTCTGCATGCAATTTTATTTTTATAAAGTAAATACATTATATTTCAAGTAAATACATTAAGGTTTGGACGGTGACCAATGGAGGGTAGTGTGTGATAAGCGATTGGTGTTGTCGGCGTCAACCTTCGTGTTCGCTAAACCTCCTATTATTATTATTAGATACATTATATTACTATTTTTAACATGATCTTTATGATTATGTAAGGATGATAAATAAGGTCTCTTATGTTTAAATAAGAGTAGGATAGAACCCAAAATAGTTTTTATTGGTACAATTGCGGAAGTGGTTAAAATAACTTTTTTTTTCCATCCTTACCTCTCTTCAGCTTGGAAAATCTTTTTTTAAAACCCAAAACATTAATTTTTTTATGGTCCTTGATTTCAGAGTCAAGGTAAGTTATATATTTATTTCATGAAATCCTTATACCAGGATATATAATATATATTTTTTATCCACGTTTGTAATATAAAAGCTTGTAGTATTCCTGAAATTTCAGTTCTTTATATTTTCATTATTTATATATTCATGAATTCTTTGAAACATTCTGAAAACTGTATTAGGCTGGTCTTGATTCTAATGGCCATTTATAAATCCTTTATTGCAATCTTGTTTGCAGTCCTCAATTTTATTCTCATCATATTCCAATTCCTCTTCTACCATTTATGCAGTGTAAGCTATTTGTGCTTTGTAGACTTTGGACCAGATATCATATACTTGATAACCTACTTTCACACTTTTGCATCCAATTGTACCTTCTTGACTCTCACAAGTTAATGTATATCTTTACCGCCTTAATAAGCCTATTGTTGGGATATTTTTTTCCAGTTATCTGCATCTAATGATATTGCATCTCCGTTGATGTGATCTATCCATCTGATTTTTGACATCCCACATGGTATTTTTCCTATTATTGAGGTATTCATTATTGTGTAGAGACTTCCAGATGGATTGCTCTGGGGTACATACACCATCCATTTTAACCTCCATGCCTTCATATCATGAGATATTGATTGACCAATTTCTTTATGCAGCTTATGATCTCAATAACTGATATTATATATAATGAGATACAATTAAACATTTATGATAAAGAACCTTATTTTGGTTATTCATTTTTAGTGGTGTCTTTTATTAGTTGTTAGATTTAATCAATAATAGATTGAGGTTTTAAACAAACCCAGTGTTTCAAAAATATATGTCAGCTCTTTTCATTTAGTTTCAGCACTTTAAAGACACCAGTGAATTTTTCAAGTATTTTTGCATCTGGATTAAAATATCTCAGAAACTAAAAATCGGACCTGTATACTGTAAGCAAAGGAAATTTTCAGAATTTTATCTTCTTTGTATTGAGATATTATTGAAAATTATATCTTAATGCTATGTCGTATTAAACAGGCAAAAAGGGAATGAGTTTGGTTGAACATATGGATTAAAATATCTCAGAAACTAGAAATTGGACCTACATGCTGTAAACAAGATAAATCTTCATCATTTCTTCCTCTATGAAGTGAGCTGTTATTCAAAATTGTATCTTAATGTGACACGGTTTTAAAGATGTGAAAATGGAAAAATAGTGTCGAGACCCAACTTATAACGAGTGTTATTGAAGAGTGAAGTGAAAAGGGAAAAGATAGCATCGCTGGTGTGCTCAAAGTAAAAAAGAGCCTATATGTCAACAACAAAAAGCTGTTTAATAAGAAAACTTGTTTTTTAAATATATAACATACTCTTTTGACTTTTATTAGCCATTTAAAAATAATATCAAATAAAACAACATCTTTAAAAATTATATATTCTAATATTCATTAAAAATACTTGTTAATGATAATAATTTGTTTGAAGTTATTTTTATTTTCTATTATCTTTTTTGTCAAATTGTTGTCATTCATTTATCAAGATAAAAACCAGTTTAGCTTATTTTCTTGTCATTTACTAGTTGATATATTAGCAATTTTCATTTTTTCTTAAAAAATCAGCTACTACATCTTAGAAGAAATAGTTTCTAAATAGTACAATTCTAGAAACTATATCATCAGTTTATTGTACAAAGTCTTTAAGCACATTTTTGATAAAGCTGATCTTTAAGTTATATTTGTGCATTTCGATCAAATTTATCGATGTAAAAGCTCATTAATTGCATAAAAATAACACAAATTCTGGTGTGTGTCGAAAACAGCTATAAAAAGTGCAAAATTTTATTGTTTCATAGAGAATATTTATTTAAGTATTAAGTGATTTAATTTTCATTGATTTAAATGTTAATTAATGACTGTTTGCATTAAACTAGCTTTTAAGTTAAGTTTTGATATGATAAAATTAAGCTGAATTTTTAAGTAGCAGTTTGATTTTTGATGAGGAAATGAAAGTTGCTTATAAATCAACTAGGAAAGAAAACGAAAGCAAGGAAAGCTGCTTTTCACCAGAGTTAATAAATGCCCAAATAAAAAACTGTACCACTACAACCCATGAAGGCTTTTAGGTTCAGTACTATTTTGGGAAAGTACTGTATCAAGGTCAACGGTTGTGTAGAAAGGCAATCAGGCCAAGATTAAGCTCAACTGACAGGTTTTTCCCTTAATTAATTACTTTAATTAAGGCTACCCACTTTGTCGAGGCTGGGTGTGCCCTAGGAGGTCTCTCTATCCCAGGATCGTCCCACATCCAACAGAACAGAATAAATAATTTTTCTGCCATGAGCTGGTATTCGAACCTGGGACCTTGAACATTGGAAGCTTAATACCCTACCACTGAGCTACTCCTCTCCAAATAACAAAATAAAAAGAACTAAATTTATATCAGTACTTTAAATAAATTATTATCAATGTAAACTTTGTTATTATTATTAATGTAAATTTAGTTAGCCATCTTTAAACAATCATAAGTAAAAGGAAAGAAAAAAAACATTTTTAAAAACTATACATCATACTATTCATTAGTAATACTTGTTAATTGATATAATTTATTAGGTTATAAATTCCATTCACACAACTGTGTGCGATCCTGTATCTTAAAGAGACACAAAATCTTCTAAAGAACAAAATGATCTATTAACGTTTAACCAATCAATGCGATTGAATGTCATGAGGTGATAAAGTCTTGGGTTTCTTTTCTTTTTTGTTCTGATGATGCCTGAATTAGTGAAAGATTTATGGTTTATTTTATTCTTTATCTGAACTTTAGAGACACAAGGCTGTCTGATTGGAATTTTCGTGTTATAACCTAACAAATGATTATCATTAACAACCACTATTAATAAATAGTGGCAGAATGTATGGCAACAAAAAGAAACCAAATTAAAAGGAATAAAAAGCCACTGTTCCAAATAGAAAACTAGCAACCGACTCTCCAGAAAAGAAGAGACAGTCCTCTGCCGCTTAAGAATTGGGCATTGTGAATTTTCACATGCCTACTTACTTAGAGGACTAGACCCACCGACCTGCGAGAGCTGTAAGGTGCAAAGAACTGTCCAACACATCATCCAAGACTGCCCAGTATTTAAGAATGTAAGGAAAAATCTCGATATGGCTCAGAGCCTAAAAGAAAACCTCAGTGACAACGAAAATGCCGTGGAAAAAACCTTACAATTTTTAAAAATAATAAAGTTCTACAATAGAATATAAATAGGAAGTGTTGCCAATGACCCTGCAGGGTAGAGGCAACAATAAAAACAAATAAATAAATAATAAATAGTATAATATTTAGTTTTTAAAGATGTTTTATTTTATCATAGATTTTTGAAAATGGTAAATTGTTATGTATGAAGGAAGGCTAATATGTTAATAAAATCTATTGCATAAAATTTGAACATATTCCATGAAGTAACAGCAAGTAAAGTTATAAACAAAATTATATATAACCAATAAGGTAATACAGGTAAAAGTTGGGTAAGGTGAGGCCAGAGAAGAGTACACATGACCAGGTGGTGACCCGTAAAATAAGAAAACCTTCCCTATAGCAACTTTTGCCTAATTGAATGGTCAAAAGAAAGCCAACATCTCTCAAACTTGAAATAGAAAAATGTATGCCGTAGGGAAAAATTAAATGAACTATTGGTAGATGGAAAAAAGGGAAGTCAGTCTTAAGGATATCCTACGAGATGGTCATCGAATGTAGAGAGGACTTGAGGAGGAGGCAAGGGGACTTGAGTGAAGCGGGCTTAGAGGCTTCCTCGGTGATGATGGTCCATGGGTAGAGGATGTGAGATGACGGTGACACCAAAAACCAGAAAGAAGTAGCTGAAGGCTCTCACCATATTACGAACTTACTCATAATATTCGTTTAGATATTACCTTTGTATATCTTTGTTTGTTAATAAATAAAATAATAATTAAATTAGTCCTACTGGCATTAGTAATCCATCGAAGATATTCATATGTATTTGATGTTTAAAATTACAAATAGATTCTATTTTGATTAAATTAACATTTTTTTGTTTCATGCCACTATTTAGATTACATATTAATCTAAATAGTAAATTGGAAACTCGATACCCTTGGGAAGAATATCTGATCCTACTTATTATTTAGGAGATTCTGTGGTATCTAGTATTTAAAACGGTTCCCAACCAATCTGGAACCAACAAAAATAGAAATATATTAAATAAAATTACATGCGGTTTCTGGAACCCACTACCCACTTTAGAAAAGCCAGTAAGCAAAGTAGCAGAATAAAAGTCAAAATATACTATATATTAAGTATGTATCTTATTAAACAGATTTTTTAATGTTGAAACATATTTATAGGAATATTGCAGTTTTTTAAAAATCTTAATCTATTAATGATTGAATGTGACATTATTTCTATGCTTTCGAAGATTCAAATTGCCTTTACCTGAGTGGACAGAAGCACAGCCCTGATGAGGTGGTAGACCTCGGTATTAGGGCCAGCAATCAAGAGTATGTAAGTGATACCCAGAAGAGGTATGAGGACAAGGAGAGCCTTGGAACCCTTTCTGTACTGCTCGGTCTCTGCGTTGTTGGCTGACCTCAGCTTGGTTATCAGCACCTGCAACATTATTCCATCTTATTTGGCTTCCGTAACTGTAATGTACTGATTAATAATAATGACATTTGATAATACATTTTTTAAACATTCATTTATTTTTTTCTATTCACTATTTTGGATAGTTGCTAATTTTAATGAGGGGTTTCCTCAATATATATATATAATATTCAATTATAATAATATACCCAGGACCCATTCTCATATACATTTAAAACTAACTGTCCTATCCCAATTTCTCTTTACTAATCAATCAGGGTCTGACCAATTATATAGTATGTATCAAGGCAATATTTTTTTACTTGAATGTTTTTTATGAATATGAACAAATAATTCAAATTATTTTTCACCGAGTAACAAAGCTCTATGAAAAATAATATAAATTTTTCTTGGCTGTTTTTCATTTCTTTTTTTACTTATCTACCTATACTAGGTAAGGAAAGTGTTGCAATCGGGCCAAATTTCCGATATGCGGTTTTCGGCGTATCCATACGTTTCAGAGCTCCCTGAGTCCAAAAAACACATTTTTAGCCATTGTTCTGTCTGTCTGTGCCAAGATTTTCTCGGGAACTACTGAACCGATTTTGTTGCTTCTTTTTTCATTTTATAGGGTTTTGACTACTGAAGTCGAAAATTCCTGCCTGTGACAGAAATTCGGTGCTCCATACGCAATAGCTTGCGCGCAATAAATGAAAAACACGTTTTGCTATAGACTGTAGCGCAAAAACGGTAATGAAATTCCCTAGAAAACTATATAAAAATCGTTCATTTTGGACTAATAATAACGAAGTTACAGCTATTCAGTTTCCAATGTAAGATTACGGGTTCATATCCTGGTGTCAGAAAGGAGTGAATGAGAGACTAAAGATGAGTAAGTGAAAATATGGAAATCTGAAACCCGCATCAACAATCTTCACTATTTCCGCTACTTTTAACATAAATTATTGTTTGACAATACTAAGCTATGGCAACAAGTTTTTGATCAGCAATATTAGAAAGTATTGAAATTTTTACACTGATCTACCTTAATCCGGTTTACATTGCTTTAATTTATCAAATAATCGTACTCAAATCTTTTCTTTGATCAATTTTCAGGAAAATAAATCTAGTTCAATTTTTTTTTGTAAAGATATGTCATATGAACTTATGTAAGGATATAAAAACTTTTCTGAAATAGGTAGGAAAGTTGTGTGAGTAGACACACCAGATGTGTTTTGTTGTTGTATATATTATAAGAGTTTTTTCTTTGAAATATGTTTTATATTCACAGATTGTGAATTCACTGTTCACTACTTTTTTTTTTAAATCTATGTCTTTGTATATATATATTACTGTCTTTTATTATTATTTTTTTACAATATGGTTATATGTACTCATTGAAACACTTTTTAAATAACAGATATAAATCTTTTGCTAGTAAAATTAATTATACTTTCCTTTTATTTATTCCAATGGAATTATAATAGGTCTTTATTTTTGTGTCAAAATCTTTAAAAAAAATCACGTTTTGAAAAGTTGAATTTTGAAAAAATCTGATTTCTTAAATCTAATTTTTCAAGGACTATTATATTAAATGTAAGATTTAATGGACTGAAATTGGCATTTGCTATTTATTCATTAATTCTGTTTCATTTGATACCTGATTTTAAAAATTAAAAATTCATCGCCTTGAGGGCTGGAAAAGGGATGTATTTTTAACGCAATATACACTACTGAAAATGAATAGTTGCGATTTAATGCTTATTTTAATCAAAATACCCTATTTTTTTTTCGTTAGGGGTTCTCTTATTTGTTGGTAAACTTAAAAAATAAAGGGGGCAGATGTGAAATGCTTGTCAGAAAAATTGAAATATGTGTCAATTAGGGCCCTATTTTGAAGAATTGTGTAAAAATGTTTATATTTTTCTATCACATAAACCGTTAATTTTATTATTTTTTAAAACATCTTTTATAAAATTTCTCGAGTCCAAATACATTCTTGTTTATATTAATTTTCAATGGTTTTGTGATAAAATAAAAATAAAAATTTGAGGGAAAATAAATCATGCTTAACTAACAATATCTATATTAATTTTTGAGCAATATGAAATGAAATGAAATGAAAAAATATTTTATTATTCTGGGAATGCTGTCCCTTTAGAACAAATTATAAGTACAGATTGTATGTCTGTGTGGTTACAATTTGATTATATATTTACTATAAGAGTCGACTAAAAATAAAAATACTGAAGAAGAGAAAGAAAAGAACAAGAAAATTGTACATATATATATATAAGAAACTAAAATAACCTAACTAAATTGAGGTAGTCTCTGGGGGTGCTTAGATATTTCTGTTAGGTATATTTCGCAATCAGTCGGATTGAGAGAGGAGTAGGTGTTTAAAGTGGAGAGGTTTGAAAGAGGAAACTGATTGAGCGTGTCGAATATCAGCAGTATAGATTTAACAATATGTAGTATAGATTTTAGCTAAACATCATTACGTTATATTCTTAGAAAGATGTTAAAGTAACGAATGTGCACATTCGTTTCTTTAACATGCCGACGATATGTTTTAAATACTCTGGATCAAATGTCTCCTTTGTCTGAGTTTGAGTAAAAAATAAACTGTTTTCTAACGGTAAAGATTAATGTGGATTATTCAATGCTTGCTAAATCAGAGGCTATCCATCAAGTGCGTAAACAGTCACCAGCTCCTGTCTGGAGTAGATTGATGACGGGACATCACTGGCGGTGGTAGCAAGTTGTCTTCGGAAGGGACTGTATTCTTTTCACTCATTGATCTACAATCGATTTCGGACACGAACCAGATTAAAATAATCGATAATACCCAAATGATACTTACCCACATGATCATGCAGAGAAAGAGCAAGTTGACCACTAGGACTACAAGAACTGGGATGATGTAGATCCAATCTGTCATGCTGGTGTACATCATCGTGCACTGGTTCATCTGAAAACACAATAGATAATAATGGTAAAAAAAAAATTGTTTAATAAAAAAAGTGGTAACGAATGTCAATGTCAAAATAAAAACAAAATAGAATCTATGTTATTATTTTCAATAATCAACCATTGTGATCGACCAAACAATTCAAACATTTAACCCCCTCTCAAAATTTGAGGTTTCACGTTTCAGGATGCGTAGAATTCGAATAAAGAAACGAATAAAAATTTTTTTGTCCGTCCGCCGTCCGAGCATTTTCTCCGAAACTCCTGGAACGATTATCTTCAAATTTGGATATAAAATCAGAGGTCACCCAAGGATGATCCTCCTTCATCGACATTACCATCCGCCTTTTACTTTCAAAATGGCGGCCGATAAACCTGCGTTGATATAGACTGTAGCTCCTAAACGAATGTACCTATTTCAATGAAACTTCGCTAAAGTCATTTTCTTTCAAAAGTTACGAGGGATGGTAAAATTAAATTCCGAATAACACAAAAAGTTAACACTTTTTTGTTGAAAATCTTTTGTTGAAAAGATGTTTCAAAGGTATTTAAATTTCCTACAAAATGAAGGAAATTTCATCGAAATCAAAGCACTATTAGTAGAGATATCGTGATTTTTTAATATTTTTGGTTTATTATTTTCAATAATCAACCATTGTGATCGATCAACAAATTCAAAAACTTAACCCCCTCTCAAAATTTGAGGTTTCACGTTTCAGGATGCGTAGAATTCGAAAAATCGTTAAAATTGGACAATTAGGGGCAAAGATATGGTCTCCGGTTTTTATAAATATGTTCTACTCCAAATGTTATATCCTTTGTTTAATACTATGTAATACGTATATATGTATATATGTATATAATACGTATATATGTAATACTATTTCTTTTAGCATATTAAAAATGATATAGAATTTACCAACTAAAAAAAAGTTTAGTCCTTTAATTGGAATCACCTATATATATTTTTTTCTTTGTAACTATGAAGGTAATGTTACTTTGATTTTTTTTTTGGGGGGGAAGGGAAAGGCTTCAGCCCGAAAGCTATTTTTTCATAAAAATAACGATAATTTTCTATGTTCTAATATTCTAGAATATTCGCCTATATTCTACAGATCCTAAAATTCAAACGCTCCTTTCAATCCCGTTCCACCAGATTCCGTGCATCCGACCTCTATCCTCCTCCTCGCCGAATTGCTGTGTTTGATAAATCCTTTTTAATTCAAGTTGTCTCCCTCTGGAACTCTATACCCTCAGATATTCGACACGCAAAATCGATATCCTATTTCAAATCTCTCCTCTTCAAACACCTACACCATTCCCAATCCGATTGATCACGAAATGCACTTATAATCCTAAGCTGTAAGAATTTCGAAGTACACCCAGATACTCTGATTATTTTGCGATTCATTGATATCTTGTTTACTTAATTTACTTTCTCTGTTTATTTTATATTTATGCACGTTTTTATATAACACTAAACTGTTTATGGACACACCAGAATATTAATATACTTTCGATATTTGTAACTTGTTATAAAGAGACACTAGTCCCAGAATAATAAAATTATTTTCATTCATTCATTCATTCATAATAATTTTGGAAAAAAGAAAGAAACTTACTACCGATATGAAACCGTGTTTAAGTGATTCCTAAAGTCGTTTTAAATGTAATTACACGAACAATAGTACTTTAAGAGATGATGTTTTAATACTTTTTCCATAAAACATGGTTATTTTTTACCATTTTGGAGGGGGGGGAGGCTTCAGGCCACAAAGTCCGCTCCGTAGATCCGCCCTTGCTACAGACAGACACCGAACCAAATTTGATCTTTGATGTCTGAAACGTAAAACACGAGTGGAAATTTTCGATTCTGAGCACAAAATTTTTTTTTTTTACGCACAAATACAGTGCTTCCCTACCTTCGATAGTGAGGGCGCAAAATTAAATATAAATATATGGGCAGATAAAAACAAATACAAAAAATATATAAAGAAGAAACAAATTTTATATATCTACAATATAGTAAAAGTTCTGATTGATTCAATGAATAACATAAGCGAATACAGAAGGAAAAAAAGAAATATATAAAATTATACTTGTATTAAAAGGAAAGAGGAATATGTAAATGTTTAATTCTCAGAGGTTTATTAAATAAAGATCTATGTTGGAATGTTACATTGTAATTATATCATGTTGATGAGTTCTTTCAACTGTTTCTTGCATTTCGCTTCCTCCTTACCGAAGGTAGGGAAGCTTTGTATTCCTGCAAGAAGTTACAAATTTTTGTGCTCAGATTTTTCAAAATTTCTATTTGCGTTTTACGCTTCAAACATAAAGAATCAAATTTTTTTCGGTGTCTATTTGTCTGTAGTCAAATCGATATGACGAGCATATCGCCTACTACCGCTTATCCGATTATCAGGGATGTTGGTCCCTTTGGTGCCCAGATGGTCCCATATAAATTTTATCAACGCTTTTTTTTAGACATGCCAGCCTGTATTTCAGAAACGACTCGTTGAATTTGGCTTAAAGTTAGACAAAAGGTAGGTATTGGTAAAAAGATAATGTAGTACCAATTTTATTGAATTCCGTCTACTACTTTTTCATATTTATGAGCAAAGGTCCTTGATACTTCCTTGAACGTCCATATCTCTAAAACCACAAGTTCGATTGAAGAACCAAAATTTGGATTGAAATTAGGGATTGGTAAACAGATAATCAAGTATGTATCAATTTCATCACATTTCATCTATTATTTTCGAAAAAAATAAATTCGCTTTCGGATCGGTATACGTATTATTTGACACGCCTATATTTTGAAAACGTCTTGGTCGATTTGATCCAAACTTGGAGAATAGTATAGATAATGCCTAGTATCTATTTAATATAATTCAATTTAATAATTAATTAATAATTAATTCATCTAAATAACTGTTAACAATATAATGACTGAAATGTGGAAGGCATTGATCATATGGAATGGAAGTTAGGTTTATATAATATTATTATGAGGCCATAATATTTTAGATGTTATTCTAAAAGTTATTTGATAATGTATTGTTTGGTTGATTCCAAGCTGACAATACGTGACACTTCGTGCAATTTTCAGTAAATTTAAATTATTATTTACTCTGAGTTTGTAAAACAGTAACAGTAGCGATATGTTTTATGTAATTTTCAATAAAAATAGTCATTATCGATATTTTAACTTCTGTTCCACTAGATTGCCTGGGTGATCTCAATATGCAACGGTCCCTTTAGGATCTGCTCTAACTGGAAATATGTTACATTAATTCTTTTGTTTTTTTGTATATGCTTCATATTTTTTTTGACGTACAATTGCCAATATATATATATATATATATATATATATATATATATATATATATATATATATATATATATATATATATATATATATGTGTGTGTGTGTGTGTGTGTATATCAAATAATATGATAGGTTAGGTTAATCGTTGCTAATAGCTACAGGAGTGGACCAACAGAGCAATAGATATGCTAATGGAGCCCAACAAATCCCCAAGATTGGATTAGGATCGGACCGCCTAGCTGTCAACTGCCTCCTTCTACGTCACTGCCTCATTACACATCTCTTCAGATGTCTGGTTGCACATTATATGATTTGTCAGTTTTGGATTTACATTTGCTAATTACGACGGATAAAAATAATAAAGTATTAATTAGAAATACATTAGAAACATTAATTTTTACTTCTTTCATTTTTAAATTGGTAACTTATCCCTGTAGAACAAATCCGATACCTTGGACTCCACCTGGACAAACGTCTCACTTGGAATTCTCATACAAGACTGAAACGACAAGAAACTGCTCGACGTTTTCGCTTACTCCAACACTTACTAGGCAAACGCTCTAAACTTCCCATTAATTACAAACGACTCATATACATGACTATAATAAGACCTATTTGGACTTATGGAGTTGAACTATGGGGCTCCGCTAAACCATCAAATTCCTTTCGTATCCAATCTTTACAATCCAAAATCCTTCGTAAAATCCTCAATGCTCCTTACTTTGTCACAAATAAAATAATCCATAAAGACCTCAATGTTCCATATGTTTCCGATTTGGCCGAATCCAGATACATATCCTTCCATAATAAACTTCATTACCATCCGAATCCTCTTGTTTCTAACATTGCTTCCTCTTCGATTCCTGATAACCCTCCGAGGCGTCTGAAAAGAATCGTGATCTCCTCATGTAGACAAATTATTAGAGTGCTACCAATGGGTAGTTTCTCAACAAGCGTGTTTCATGTTATTATATTCCTCTGTACACATTTAATTGATGTATTCATACTAATACAGTTGTAAATATCATAATAAAAGTTAAAAAAAAAAAAAATTGTAACTCATTTTTTTTAATATAAGTATATTTTTTAATATAAATATATTTATTCTATTTTTTATCTATACCACTACAACCTATTGTAGGTCTTGGATTCAGTACTATTTAGGAAAAGTACTGTTATAAGGCCAACGGTTGTGCAGGGAGAAGATCGGGCCAGAATCACGCTCACCACCAGGTTTTCTCCCTTAATTAATTATTTAATTAAGGGTACCCACTTTGCAGAGGCTGGGTGTGCCCCAGGAGGGTGTCCCTACCCTAGGGTCGCCCCATGGTCAATGAAAGACAATAAATAATTTTATTTTATACAATACATTATGCCAATTATCACCAACATTTTATTGATACGCATTAATTCGACGTTTCGACCATACTCAGGGTCATTTTCAAGTCTGGAAAATTGTAATATCTTTATTAGTTAACATTCAACAATTATAAAAAGAATTTCTTATTACACTTACTTAACTATCTATGTCATATTATCTAACGATCTATGTCATATTATATTCGATAATATAAATTTATCCAAATCTATAGATAAAGTATACACTTTTTCTTTTTAAAAAACCATACATGTACGTAACTTTAAACATTAAACCTTACATTAAAAACAAT